TGTTGATAACGTCATGTCGTCTGCGAACATAAAACACAAACTGTGATCTATTGACGCAGGCAGGTCATTTATGTAGATGAAGAATAAAAGGGGACCCCACACCGAGCCCTGGGGAACTCCGTTATCAACAGGGAGCAGAGTAGAGTCGTAACCATTGCAACTAACATATTGTTTCCGGTTAGTCAGGTAGGATCTGAACAGACTTAATTCAGTACCCGTACACCGTAGTACACCAGTTTTAGAAGCAATATGCTAGTATTGACACAGTCAAAGGCCTTAGTAAGATCGCACACAGTAGTAAAGGTTTTGAGACCACTATCAAGGCCATCAACAACATATTCCACTAAATCAAGTAACTCTTTGATTGTGGAGCTTCCCTTCCGAAATCCATACTGGCATGTGGATAGTAATGAATTTCTTTCGAATATGATAATAGCTTGTCCTTTAGCAGGATTTCAAAAACTTTCCCTATGATGGGCACAATGGCTATTGGCCGATAATTAGATGGGTCATTCGCATCACCCGATTTATGAAGAGGAAGAATCTTTGAAATCTTGAGCGAGTCTGGCCAAACCCCTTCAGAAATGCACTTATTGTAGAGAACTGAAAGTGGTTCAACAAGAGACTCAATAGCTTTTTTAAGCATTGAGCTATTCAAACTGTAGTAGTCCAAGCAATGAGAGTTACTAAGCTTGAGAATAGCTTCGGCAACATCAGACTCTACAATTGGAGCCATAAGAAAGACATAGATGGTTTTCGGACCTTGTTCAGCAATGTAAGCGGGGCAACACTTTCATTGTCAATTGAGCATACTATCTCCTTTGAAACTGTGGCAAAAAAATCTATTGAAGCTATCTGAAGATACTATATGATTGGACTTTAATCGATTACGTTCTGAATTAACTATTTGCCAAACTGTCTTGTTTTTTATTATTAGTTGTCAGTATTCTTCTGGAATAGAAGCTCCTTTTTTCCAGTTTAATTGCTCGTTTATATTCATAGCGGCAGTTCCTGAAGGCCAGCCAATCTTGCTCTAACCTTGTTGATCTAAAATTTTCTTGTATCTAAATAATTGCTTGCGCATATATTTGAGCCTCTTTGTGAACCATCTCAAACCATTATTCCTATTATCAATTTTCCGCAAAGGAAAACAGGCGTCAATTTCTAAATTTAGAGCATCGAGTATTGAATTTGCTAGATTATCAGCAGTACGCGTATTACTCTCAGGAAAAGACCAGTCAAAATCGTGAAGCTTGCTGGCGAATAACGATAGCCCCTTGCTAGTAACGTTTCTTATCTTAAAAGAGCTACTACAACGGGCTTGCTTGATTGATGGAATAAAAATGTAAACTCCACAATGATCAGAAAGGTTGGGATCAAGAACACCGGTAATACGGCTCTTAATGTCGATATTCGTTAGTATATTATCTAGGCAGGAACTGGTGGAGGAAGTGATACGCGTAGGCTGGCTAATACAATGTGAGAGACCATATGATGAAAAGGCGTTTAACAAAGTCAAAAGCAATAGGCGAGCAACTGGTAAAGTCTAGATTCAAATCGCCGACTATGATTATATTTTTATACCTAGAATACAAATAATCAATCATAAGGACTAGTTTGTCTTTGAATATGGCTATATCACCACAAGAGGATGACCTGTATGTGGTGATTACAGCCATGTTTTTAGATGGAGCTGCAATTCCACAAAACTCTGCATGAAATGGTATACAAAAGGTGCTGAGATCAATATCTTTATAATCTGAATGACTGTTAACCAAAATTGCAACGCCACCATGCGCATTTGCTGGCCTACAGTAAGAAGAAATAACAGAGTAACTATTAAAATTAATCGAGTCCAATCTATCACTGTCCAGCCAATGTTCCGATAAACAAATGATATCAAAGGAACATTCACTCAACGACAAACACAGCTCATCTACTTTGCTAGATAAGCCTTGGATGTTCAAATGCATTATTGAGAGACCACATGCAGTAGAGCAGCCCTTCTCTGAAGAATGGGAGGGCGCACTTCTCTTGAATGCCGACCCTCGGCACCATTTTCTGACCTCTTGGGATCTCCTTTCGTGTTTCTTGCAAGAAAAAACCGGTTTAACAAAACACCTGTAGGCCAGATGTTACTGTCGATAATTATGGAAGCTTCGTCGACTGGAACTTAAACCTTGAAAGATGAGTACCTCTCCGGATATCTGGCTGTCAACCTCTCGACCTTTACACTTGGAGCAACTGCTTTCAAATAATCAGAGAGAACCACTTCATCTGTTTGTGGATCAAGGCGCGTTACATGATAGAGTCTTACAGAATTCGAAGTAGCAGCCTTTAAGGGACACCCTTGCATTCCAGACATACTACCTACTAGTAAATTTTTGGGTTTGCTTTTGCTATTATCTACATAGATTTTCTTATCGTAATCATTATTCATATTTATTAAAGTGCTGCAAACACTGCTGGTCTAGGCGCTGTGTATCGCTCCGGCAACCAACGATTTCTTTATAGGCTGCTTTCCAAAGGTAAGATCGCTGCCATGTGTCGTCGCTGTAGGTGGATTAAGGATTTTCTCCGATGACTGCGATTCACGTGATGCCATTAAATTCGGCTTATTGTTTGTCATACCTGGCGCTGTAAGAGTCTGCTTAGTTTGTTTCAGCATGGCGATTTGTTCAGTTAAAGCCGAAATCGCTATTTGCTGGTTTTGTATTGTTACCTGCTGAGCTTCTATAATAGCGTCCTTATGCTTTAAAAGCTCTTCTAGATAGTAGATTCTATCTTTGCCAGCAAGCCCTTGACAATCAGGTGGAACTGGCGACTTGGGTGCAATCGGGTCATCGCTACATTTACTACAGCAAATTACCGAATCTTCGTTGATAAACTTAGCTTTAATATTTTCCAAACAGGATTTATGAGACATCTTGCTACACAGCACACACCTAGGACCAGTTTTTACTATCTTCCTACAGCGGACGCCAAATTGATTGCCATCAGCCATCTTAACTTTTTGGCGAGTAGTGTGTATAGATATCGCCGCCGGCAAACCTGCTTGGCACTTAGTAATAAAAAGTGCCAGCACTTACTCGGAAAAAGGTCTAAGTGCCGTTATATTATGAGCATCAAGTGACAAAAAGCACAATTGTACACTTCTTCACTTACGTGTCCCTGGTAACAGGACAAATTTGCTGAAGGTTCTTTAATACACGACTCACCGATCAGCACTACCACAGGCGGCTACGCCCCACGAGACAAGCAATGGTAGCAGTGGGGCCTCTGTGATAAGGATGTTAGACGTAGACAAACAACTATCAATTACGGCCTCTAGCCGCACAACTTGAATTGAATTAAACACAAGTACACCTGCAATCACAAGAATAATACCCAATAAGAAGTTCGGGAAAACACTCGCGACGCGAAAAACTTAATAAAACGATTTAAAAGCCCGAATAATAACACACACGTCGTGCAATCTCCTCCGATCGTATAATAATATTAATTATTATAATAATAATAATCATAATAATAGTAATTATAATAATAATAATAATAATAATTATAACAATCATAATAATAATAATAATAAGTTATAATTAATAATAATAATTATAATTACAATAATAATAATAATTATTATTATAATAATAATAATCATAATAATGATAATAACAATCATAATAATAATAATAATAATAATTATAAGTATAATAATAATAATAGTTATAATAATAATAATAATAATAATTAGTAATTATAATAATAGTAATAACAATAATTATAATAATAATAATAATAATTATAACAATCATAATAATAATAATAATAATAATAATAATAATAATAATAACTATAATTATAATAATAATAATAATTATAATAATAATAGCTATAATAATAATAATAATAATCATAATAATAATTGTAATTATAATAATAATAATAATAATAGTTATAATAATAAATATAATAATAATAATAATAATGTTGGAACGCGTACTAGCGTCACCCCGCCGCGCCGCTACTGGCGAGACGACCAGACAGGTTGCCTAACCTAGAAGCTTGTAACCGCCGTCCTGTCCCCGCGCGCCGCACCTCGGAATGCAGTCAGTCGTGATGAGTCAGTCGTGGGAAGCAGTCGAAGTACAGCAGCCAGCACACGCGCGCGGATCGCGGAACGCGGAAGCCCGATCTACACCTGTCGCTTATCTAGCCATCCATGTACATGTAATCAATAAACTGTTCTGAACCGAAGACCACTGCGAGTTGAATTGCTCTGCTTACCTATCCTCAACAGGTTACGTGCCCAGAGACAGTGCTACGGACATTGAACAATTATTGCAAGTGCTGAAGATAATATAGGAAGTGTGTGACTAGTGTTATCAAACATGAGTGTGGCAAAAGTATCCTGTATAGACTCGCTTAGCAGGGATAACTACGACACGTGGAAAATACAGATGAAGGCGTTGCTGGTAAGAAACGATCACTGGAGTTATGTATCTGGCGAGATAAAGCAGCCACGGATAGATGATGGGGACGAGGCATCCACGAGAGCTGTAGAAGCCTGGACTAAAGGTGACAGCAAGGCGATGTCGGACATAATTTTGTCAATAAGCCCCTCAGAAATCAAACAGGTAAAGAACTGTAATACATCCAAGGAACTGTGGCAAAAGTTGGAGGGTATTTACCAATCAAAAGGACCCGCTAGAAAGGCCACATTGCTCAAACAGCTTACACTGCAACGTATGGAAGAGGGACAGGACATACGATGTCATTTAAACTCATTTTTCGATGCAGTTGACAAGTTAAATGACATGGATGTAGAAATCAATGCAGATCTATTAGCGATAATGCTACTGTATAGCCTGCCAGCCAGTTTTGAAAACTTCAGGTGTGCAATTGAGTCTAGAGACGAATTACCATCCCCGGAAATTCTTCGAATAAAAATTATAGAAGAGTATACTGCGCGGAAAGGCGACGTTCGAGAAACGGAAGGCGCCATGTTCGTGAAGCGGAATTATGGGAAAAATCACGGTCACGCAGGAAATGGCGGACGGGGCAGTGGCGTCTCGGAAGGTGCACGAGGCAGCGGCGTCTCGGAAGGCAGAAGAACGTTCAGGTATAAGTGTCACAGATGCCGAAAAGTAGGCCACAAGGCCGCTGAATGTCCAGACAAAGGTAAGACTGTTGCCAATTCTTACAAAAGTGAAGCGAACTGTTCCGAACACGTGGGACTCGTTACCGCGGAATGTTATCATGTTGAACAGAATCACAAAAGACTGAAATGGTGTCTAGACAGTGGCGCAACGTCTCACTTATGTAAAGACATTAGTTGTTTTTCTGACTTTGAACGTAGACATGATCATTTGAATTTAGCAAATAGTGAATTTACGGACATTAAAGGTTCCGGAACAGCTACGTTTGTTGCTGACGTTTTTGGCGACACGAAAAACATCTCGCTCCACAAAGCTTTTCATGTTCCCGACCTAAGAGTAAACTTACTTTCTGTTGCAAAGATTACCGATAAAGGATTTGAAGTTTTATTCAAGAAAGAAAATGCTTTGATCTATGATAGTAATGGTGATATAAAAGTTGTAGCCGATCGTAGTGGCGATTTATACTACGCGAGAGAAGGCGAAGCGCAGAATAAATCAGCTTTCATTTCGACCATGAATTCTAAAAATGTCAAACTATGGCATCGTAGATTAGGACATTTGAACTTTCAGGATTTGAATTCTTCATTGAAGAAAGGAAGATTAGGTGGAATAAATATTGAAAATATGCCTAATAATGGGGAACTTAATTGCGAAATTTGCATACGCGGAAAAATGACGCGTTCACCATTCCCGAAGAAGTCCGACAGGGAATCGGAAATGCTAGAAATCGTACATACTGATGTTTGCGGTCCCATGCGAGTAGAATCTCACTCGAAGTACAAATATTTTGTCGAATTCATAGATGATTATTCTAGGTATTGCACGGTATTCTTCATGAAACATAAAAATGAAGTTGTGCGAAAGACTCAGGAATATATTACACTGGTCGAAAACCAAAAGAACAAAAAGATAAAGTGCATCCAATCTGACAACGGGACGGAGTACACATGTAAGGAAATGGAGGATCTCCTGAAAAAGCACGGAATTTCACGTCGCTTGACTTGCCCATACACTCCGGAACAGAACGGTATAGCGGAGAGGAAAAACCGCACTCTCTTGGATACAGCACGTTGTCTAATCATGCAGTCCGGCTTACCTCCGATCTTTTGGGCTGAAGCCATCAACACGGCCAACTATTTGCGGAACAGATGTCCATCCAAAAGTCTGAACGGGTTAACACCATACGAAAAGTGGACTGGAAAGACTCCCGACGTTTCGCATCTCAGAGATTTTGGTTGCAAGGTCTTCTGTCTAAACCAAGATCAGGCCAAGGGGAAGCTAGACGCAAGATGTAAGGAAGGAATTTTCATAGGGTATTCGGAACAAACGAAAGGATACAAGGTCTGGTTGCCGAAGGAGAATAAATTCGTAATCACGAGGGATGTTAAGTTCTTGGAAAACGCAGAAGTCACATGCCAAGAATGGACAGATTTTATTCTGGAAGGATCATCCAAGGAGAATGAATCTGAGATGCATACTATCGAGGTACAGCTATCCCCAGTTGTCGAGAACGAAAATCCAGAACATGAATCTCCTACAACGGAACAAGAAGAGCCCGAGGTTGATCACGATTCTGAGCCACCCAGGCGTGCCCGCGGGAGACCCAGAATTCGGCGAACTGGTTCGAGGGGAAGACCTAGAAAGATATACAGGTACAGGACACCCCCGAGAGGTTCAGCACTCTCTTCTGAAGAGGTATTACTGTCCGAGGTCCCGATGCATCAGGCAGTCAGAGGCGAGGACGCTGACGAATGGCACAAGGCGATGGCAGACGAAGTGGCATCTATCTTGAAGAATGGTACTTGGGAATTAATCGACCGACCATGTAACCAGCACATCGTTGGAAGCCGTATTGTCCTGAGAAACAAGTACAAGCCTGATGGAACTATCGAAAGGAGGAAGGCAAGACTAGTCGCTCGGGGATTTAGCCAAAAGCCCGGAACACATTTCAACGAGACTTTTGCCCCTGTAGCAAGGCTTAGCTCCATAAGACTTGTATCTGCCCTAGCAGCACATTTAAATATGGACATGCAGCAACTGGATGTTACCTGCGCATACTTAAATGGAAGTCTAGATGAGACGATTTACATGGAAACCCCCGAATATTTGGATGAATCATTGAAGATTATTTGTGATAACTCCAAATACAACGAGGCTACCAGAAATAAGGCTCGAGATACCTTGAACACACTGGGAAAAGGTGATAAAGTATGTCTACTTAGGAAGTCACTATACGGCCTGAAGCAAGCCGGTCGCAGCTGGTATCAGAAACTAAGCCAGACACTTAGTGAATGCGGTGCAAATCCAACTAAGTCCGACCCATGTGTATTCACTAGTAAAACAG